TTTATTACTCCTTCCTGACTGAGTATAGTCGATGGGTAGTTACCACAAACACTTTCAAAATTTAGAAATGTGCTGCAGATGTTCTTTCTTCCAAATTCCCATTTGCACTGTCTTGAAGAGAATATTAGCAATCAGCTTAGCAGAGCAAATGATTTTTGGTTTTTTCATCAACTCTTTCTCGATACCAGTGTCCCGAGGCAACTCTGTAATAGTCTAAAGGCTCATAAAGATTTAATCACTGGAGAAATATTTATGGAGCATCTTTGGCTGTAAGATTATGATGTGATGGGGCTTCAGTGTAAGTGCATGATTTGTCCCTGACCTCAGAGTTTGTTCTGAGATTGTCATTCTCAACCTTGGCTGAGTTGCAGAGTCACACGTTCGATTTGATCTACACAGATTAGAAAAATGCTGAGAAGATAAAAAGATTGTGGGACTGGAAATGCTAAGTCAGAAAGAAAGTAAAAAGTACATTTGTTGTATCTCTGTGAAAGATGCAACAGATAATTTTGAACCCTGGCTTAAATTAAAGAAAAACCTGGAAAAGAGAAAGTATGCCACACTTACATAACCAGAGTGGCTAAATTCTGCTGTGCGGGTGAAATTTGAGATCACTCATCTTGCATGCCAATCTCAACACACGTATTTAAAATTTTATCCACGTACAACAGGCCTAACAATGCTTCCTTTTAATGAAGTTGTTTAAAAGCTGAAGACTCATTTTTTTGGAAACATACAGCATAGTGCTAGACATATATTAATAGTCAGTACATAGTTACAGAGCTTCATTTCAAGCTCACTAAAAAGATACACACTTTATTCAAAGCGGTGAGGAAATATTAAACTCTTACTTATTCAAGAAAAGCTGCATTACAAGGTGTTTATAAAGTCACATATTAAAGGAAATGACAGGAAGATTTTTGGTTCCACTTAGAAAAGAGGACTAAAGACATGAACAGAAACACAACTTTGCAGGGGTCAAGCATGCTGGTTTAGAAAATGGACTGTTTTACACTGAAAGGGACTTCATGTCATAGAATGACACACATTACATAAGACACTTAAACCTTGTCAGAGGGGAATTTTGAACAAGTTTTACCTCACTCGTTGAGGGAATCTACCACTTTTCATCACCTACCATATCTCAGATCTCATTTGTGAGACCTCAGCGAATTCGGTGCCTCGAAGGAATTCTTGAGGAGAGGCTGTCCTTTCCAGGGAGCCATGTACAGTACAGGAAAGGCTGTTGGCTTATGCTTTATGGAAGTTCAAAAGGGATTATATGAGAATCCCCCTACATAGAGTTTAACACCTGGGAACATAAACACAATTATAAACATCGGGCATATTTTGGATTTTTACTGTTATTTAGGATTACATCTTTGCCCTAATCTGGTCTCTAGGATTTGCTCTGGTTGTGTCATGTGTGTCTTCCTTGTCTGTGTGTCTACATTATGAACACTGGATGTATTGATGTTATTCAGATTATCATTACTTACTTTTTCCTCGTATTCTTTGGCAAAATATTTTGACCCTACCTTCCAAGTGCTTTTTATGAAAGTTTGGCTTCCTCCCATTAAATTCTCCAACAAATCAACTTTCCACTCAGTGTTCACCTAAGACCGATCTTTATCCTTTTGCTTGGCATATCGGTTTTCTTATCAGTGGTTTGTCCATGTGAGGGTTTTTGTATATATATAATCATTGAAGAATCAAAAGTTACTACAAGTCACTGGGTATCCCAGGCTGTGCCTGGTACCTGCTGTCTTTTCAGTCTGCCCTGAGCTGAGACAGGAGTCAGATCATGCTCTCTGTGTCTCAGATACTCCTTGTTGGAGTTTGAGCTCCAGAGTCCCTCCTGTTCTGCAGGTCACAGGGCTTTGTGTATAATGCTCTGAACATTCCTGGGAGTTGTAGAGATGAAGTATGATCTATGTTACAGACAGAAGGTAAGGGGTGAATATTGTATCTGACAGCTATTAAGAAAACGTTCTTCAGTTAAGTAGTGTGATGGCCTGAGTACAGGAGGTGCTTCTTTCCTCTCTACCTTCTCTGGACCCTCCCTCACCCTCTCTTCTCTTTCTTCTTCCTGCTTCTCTTCCTACTGTTAGAATTCTTTTCAACTTTGTCTCCCCCCATACCCCCTTCCACTCATCTCTCTCTCCCTGTATTTTCTCTATTACAACATTTTTCTCATGTTTTTAAGGCCAAGTTCACTAGCCTTGTAATAATTTTCTTGATTGGAATCAATAGTATAATTAGAGAGAAGCTATTTTTAACACATAAGAGATTCAGGTAAATTCACAAAGTTATCAGGCCATAGCTACATGAATATTGGTAAGTCATTCGCTCCTATTAGATTATAAAGACTTAAAGATTTAAAAAGCACAATAGGCAAGGGAAATTTTCCTTGAGCAAATGACACTGACAAAGTTAGCTACATTTTACCAAAATAATTAAAGATGAGAACCCAACTTAAATTCGTAAATATTCCACATAACACTAAGAATTTGAAAATCCACCGGAAACATTAAATGCAAAATGAAAAGTGGAAAGAGTCAGTAAACAACCAATTCTTAGAGGGTTTCATACTTACAAAAGGATATTGGCAGCAGTTTTCCTTGGAAGAAAGGAAGTTTGTTGAACTCTCAGTTCTGGGCACCACAAGACTGAGTGGTGGATGAACTCTGCCTGGTGAGGGCTCGCGGAGTCCTGGCAGAGAGACGAGGCCAGTAGGGAAGCCTGGACGGCTCACTTGTCCTCATACCTCTATCTCCAGAAAGCTGGGAGTCCTCGTGAGCCACAAGACATCATCACCTCAGTGACGAAGGACTCCCTACTGGGCCCGCCCTCGCCTGCCTCCCCATGGACCAGCCCTCTAACGCACAGAATTCTTACAAAGACATACCTTAATTCATTTGCCTAGTCACCTACGGCTTAATAATGTCTTTGAATGCTTGCTGTGCTTTGAAATACAACAGAATCTTCTTTTAACATAAATGTGTCAATCATTCTTAATCATTCTTTAATTCATACTGAATAAAGATTCCATTAGCCAAATGACATATAGTTTTGTTATAGCACATTTGATTTTTATATGGAAGGATTTCTCATGGATTTTCTTGTGATATAATCAACACACCATAAAAAAGACCATTTTAAAGTATATAGTTCAGTGGTTTACAGCATATTTGCAAATTTGTGTAACGAGTACAGCTGTCAAAGTTTAGAATATTTTCATCACTCTTTCGTGTCTTACTATTCCTCCTAGCAATCATTGTCCAAGCCTCAGTCCTAAGTCGCTGGTTATGCATGATACACGTTTGTCTCTGGGTGTGGCTATGCTGGAAATTTCATATAATTGAACTCATAAGGTGTGATCATTTGTGTCTGGCATTTTTCATCTATCATAGCATTTCCAAGATTTATCTATGTCATAATATAAACCAGAACTACCTTTGTTTTTATGCCAAGTAATATTCTATTGTGTAGATATAACACAGTATGTTTACTATCAATTGATACACATTAAGATCCTTTTTTCTCCTTTTTATTGTTAAGTGTAGTTATCAGCATTTGCATGCAGTTTGTATGCAAGAGATTTGTATTCTTTTGGTATACATGTAGAAATACAATTGCTAATCATCAATAACTGACTTTTGGAGAAACTGCCAATCTGTTTCCTGAAGCTGATGCACAATTTAATATTTTTCCAGCAGAGTTGCAAACTCCACCATTTCCCTCTCTGCTTTAAGGGAGTGTTACATTCCTTCTTTTTTATTTTTGCCAAGCTGGTGAGCCTGAAGTTGAATTTCACTGTAGTCTTTATTTGCATTTCCATATTGCTAATAATGCTGCACACATCTTTTTATGTGCTTGTTGCCTGTTTGTGAGCCTTTTGAGAAAAAAGTCTATTTGAATTCTTAACCCATTGCTTTAATTGAACTATTCTCTTTTTATGGTTGAATTGTAATAATTATTTATATAAACTGGACAGAGGACCCTCACCACAAAAATGATTTTTAAAATATTTTCTCCCATCTGTCAAGTGGCCTTTCACTTTCTTGGTAGAGTCCTTTGGTATGAAAACAAAAGTTTTCCATATTGATTAAGTCTAATTTACTTCATCTGTGTTTTTATTACGTGTATCCTTTAAATCCCTGAAATGGTTGCTCAATTTTCATAACAGTGAGATAGGGACTGGACATATACTTAATTGTATGAATTAAGTCAGTGTATTCTTCTCCACTGGAAGTGTTTTATTCCTATTTTGAGGTATGTATCAAGGTTCCTACAGGCAGCTGACAACTCGCTTTGCCCTTACTTCCTGCTGGTGCAGAGCCTGAAGTTATTCACTGATGAGATTTTAGGGCACCAAACCTTCCAGCATGGGTACACTCTCCCACACATTGGCATGGCCTCCCAGGCACCCAGGGCTATGTGGAGCATTCAAATCGGTCCGCAGACTTCTAGGTCCCCTGTTTTCTTTTTCAGGGTTTTAGTTTTTTGTTTGTTTGTTTTTGCTTTTTTGGTTGGTTGGTTTATTTTGCTTTGGTTTTGGTTTGGTGTTTTGTTTTGTTTTTTGATCACCCCATTTTAATCCCCAACAAGTTACATCGTTACTTGTCTCTGGTATAATGTTAAACAGGTACTACTGTTCTTCTAATAGGGCTTTAGGACAGGACTGTTTACACAGAAGGAAGTCTAAATCTTGCTCAAAAGAGTCATGAAGATGTGTCTGAGCACTGTCACGCTGACCAGTAGGGACTCTGAGCATATAAACTCATATTTCAAGTACATATGGAAAATTTATATTCATGATGTGGTCCCTCTTAAACAAATTATATCTTAGAAAAATGGTAAGCTAAAGTCCTTCACAATTATACTGATTAATTTGATAATTTTAAAACAATATTTTAGTGTATTTATTTTGCTTATCAATGCAGTGAAAGTTTGAAAATGCCAATATATTCATTTTACTTTATATGAATTTTCCATAGGACTTTGGAGATGATGGGTCTTTGTACATTACTAAGGTTACCACCACTCACATGGGGAATTACACCTGCTACGCAGATGGCTATGAACATGTCTACCAGACTCACATCTTCCAGGTGAACGGTAAGCAGTGTGGTATTGCTATAAGCCTTTTGTCTTTGCTTTAACTGATATTCAAAAAGCATGGCTTTAATGTTTAAATTTTGGTAAGACTTTTAACTTTTTGTTTTGGCACTTTATGTAAAAGCTTTTTAAATTAAAAAAGTGCCCAAGTGAATAAACACTATAAATTCATAATACTTTTGTCACTATAAAATATTATAGTAACTCACTTTAATTGAAAGGCTACAGAAAATTTAAATTACTTTTTTAGCATATCAACAATTCTGCAATATAGATTTTAGAAAATGGAAAAGCAATTTAAAAATTTCAGTCAAATCATGTTCAGTTGGGTCCTATTAATGTTATAGGAAATGCTTAATTATGTGTAGAAAAGTTTACACTGTTAATGGTTTATTTAATGGCCATGGTATTCACCAACTATTTTGTCACTCCCATAACAAGAACTTTGCTCTACTCCTGATTTAATTTAAATTTTGGCTATTAATTTGAGTTGACTTTGGGTTACATGTTTGTTTTGTAATAAGTAATGTGATTTATTAGTGAACACTGATTCATTTCTACAATTGATCATGTCATACATGTTTATATACTCTGATCTGTAAGAAAGAGACAGAAATTTTCACAGCTTCCTGTAGGAACAGCAAGATGGCTGGCGTGATTTTCATTAAGAGGGGAGTGGCATATCATGAATTTGGAAAAGTAGTCTGGGATGAGATCACATAGAGCCTTGTGGAGTTAGGTGCATATCCAGATCTCAATTATAACTGTAATGCAAAGCATTTAAAGAGATCAGTATACCACAGCACACATTCTGATTGGTCTTAAAATGAATGATTCATTTAATAACTATTTTAGTTTTCTGGTGAGAGATAGTGGTTGCTTAAAATTTAGTGGAAATGGTGGATTAATATGGAAATGGTCCAATTTGGAATATATTTTGAAGTTATATCTGACACTCATTGAAAAATATTATGTGAGTGCAAGAGGAAAAGAGTTTTTTAAAACTAAGCATAAGGAATTTGAAGGAAATAGTATGTGTTTATGCAATTCACCGTGGCAGAAAGGAACAGTTTGGAGATACAGTGAGATTCATTTTATCAAGATGATATTTATGCAATTACTAGTGGAAAAGTTAAGTGTCCAAATGAGTGAAAATCCAAGCCTGTAATTTAGGCAATGTCAGTGTGCGTGGATTGCACTTAAAGCCATGCTGTGAGCTTCTTGTCGTCACCTGAGGAAGAAACGCAGAAGGCCACAAGGCCAGGGGGCCAAACCTTGGGTCCAAAATTAACAAACAGAGACAAGAAGTCTGCAACAGAAGCTCTACGCCCTGCACACTGATTAAGAAAATGTTATTAAAAACATGAAAATATTAGAGAGTCATGTTTATCCATGTTAACACTCAACAGAAGCAGCTCTGGCCCTGGTTTTTGGGGCAAACCCCCAGGCAGTTAGACTTGGGTGAAGTCTTTGACCTCACCTTCCAAGGAAGCCAATGAGAAAAGCAGCCAGGCTGTGAAGGAGTCAATACAGGCTGTTCTCAGGGACCGTGCATGTTTGCAGCTGGACTTTTAAGGCCACTGTACCTGCCGAGTCTGTGCTGGGGAGGCTTCCTGTCTCCAAACGGTGAGATTGTGATGGCAAGTCTGGCCCTCGCTTCTCTTTTGTTGGTGACCTTTTACCAACTTCTGGCCTTGACAAGTCTAATGTCCTGTATCTGTGTTTCCTTTGACAGTTACAGAGATTCTCTGTTGAGTCTATTGCTAATAATAATTTTTTTCTTTCAACCTCACTCTCTGTCCTAGTGCTTTCTGTCTCAGTACTTGGTATTTTTTTTTTTTTTAAAGTGCATGCATGGTTCATCTTCCACCTGCATTACAGTCATTTGAAAATTTAAAAAGCAGAATTCTGGGTTTTCTCCATGCTCTTTGGGAGTGTGATTTGCACTGTGCATTCTGACAAGCTTCCCGAGCAGTTGTGAGGAGGGGGAGAGTGCGAGGATCGCCCGCAGTGGCTGCTGTTCAGCTGTGTCTGCTCCTTGCTCATTGATGATGTTGTTTATGGTCTTACTTGTCCCTTTGCTGTGATCTAAAGAGACCTGAGAAGGAGACCGAGTCCAGGGCAGGCTTTCTCTTGGCGAGGTGTGTGCAGTAAGTGCGGGGGGATGCAGCTCAGTATTTCTTTCCTCCTTTGATGTGCTGCTTACGATCTGGGGACATCTGCACAGATCTCTGGTTTTTCTGAAGATGGCATATGCAATAATGAGATCTCTGACAGATTATCCCCTCCACCAATCTTTACATGCACATTAAGTGAGAGGAATTCAGTATCAGCAATGATTCCCTGTGCCAAATTCTAGCTCTTCTCCTTTGCGAGGACCAAAGATCTCTGCAAAGGTCTTTCACAACTAGTAATGCTAGCCTTTCCACTGAGTTCTCAGACACTAAAACTTCTTTGAATTCCTTGATATCAAGGTTTTCATGTACAGTGGAGGTTTGGGGAAAAAAATAGCAACACTATCATTGCTGACAGAGTAAACAAGATAGGGGTGTATTTTGAGAAGGAGACTTTTAGTACGTGAATGTAAGTATTATACTTTGTAAGATGACTTTATCTCAAGTGTTGAGAAGACAATTATAATTAAAGGAAATTCAAGAGAGAATGGAGTGAAGAAATAAATAACTCTGGTATTATCACCTAAGCAGGAGAATGTCAGCTGAAAGTACGCAGGTAACTGTGACAGCTCCAATGCATGAAGCATAGGCAGGGCGGGCTAGAACAGCTACATGTAATCATTTATGCGGATAGAAATCCAGTAATGATAAAAACAGGTAATACAGGAGGAAAAGGACAATTGCAGTAATAAGATACTGAAATTAAAAAGTTGGTGTAACAACAAAAAATGGAGGAATTGGGCTTCAAGAGATGAATAAACAGCTTATCAGTTGAAGCAGAGAAGAACAGACTGAAAAAATCTGCTGAGTGTGGGAGAATGAGGACATTCTCTTGGTAGTACGTGGGTTATTTTTCAGTAAAAGAAGAATTGCTGAATGTGAAGGGTTTGTGAGAATAAAGTGTTCTGAGGAGAGGACGAAGTAGAAAAGGATTATCTCAGAGAGCGAAAGGGCAATGAACACAGCAGCACGTCTGAGGTACACTGGACGTGATTTGAGGTGCTGCTGGGGTGGTCAGTGCTAGTATGCTTCCTTCAAAGTGGCAGGCAGACAAAAAGGAGATCTGGACTTAACAAGAGTGTTTATTTGTTGAGTGATTGAATACAAGGGACATGGGTAGGTTAATCAACTTTACAAACACAGTGATTACCTTGATGGAGCGCAGAGTAAGGGGGAGGAAGCACAGAGCCGAAGCTGTGAGAAACGTGGTATGGAGTGCAAAGTTACTGGGGTTTACAAGCTGGTCAGTTATTAGTTGAATGAAGTATTGGGAGGAAGTCAGGCAATAGCCTAACTTCTCTGTTTGTAAGAGGTGCTTATAATTAGGTCAAATTTATACAGGGGAATTTATGCCCCATTAAAGTTTCCCAAGTGTGTAGAGAGTTCAGCTTTACTTCTAAATGTAATTCTTCAATTCTGGCCTTTGCAATACAGAAGAAGTGTGGTATAGAATCGTAATGATTCATCAAATTCATCCATCTGAGATCAAAATTTATTTTATTGCCTTGGTATCAAGAAACGGAGTACAATAATTGCATCTCAAGGATCATTTATAGCATATAAACCTATTTGAAGAAGCTAGACAGCAAAGTAGAAGATGAATTATGAGGAGGTTAATAAGGGATTGTCTTTTAACTCCTATCACAGAGATCCAAAACAGTGAGAGTTCAAAGTAAGGATATGTTTTCCTTACACATAAAAAGGGTGGTTGTGATATAGGGGAAAATATGACTCCCAACCTGCTAGATGTCAGTTATGCTGAGTTCCTGTCCCCTGAAATCAATGAATGAATTTCAAAGGACAAAGGAGGTTAAGAGTAGGAAAGGTTTATTTGCAAATGGGAATAGCTCCTGAGAGACAGGAAGGGTCCCAGAAGTGGACTGCCACCAAGGACCTCTGTCAGGTGTAATTCATTCAGCAAGTTACAGAGTGGGTACAACATGGATCAAATTGGAATCAACTATAAGATCACAAGTAGAGCTGTTCCACTAATACTGGTCCAATAGGGAAGTGGGACAGGTAGTAAGGGTACACAGAAGGGATGAGCTTTCAGAATTTTCAGAAGGGGTGAGTCTGGAGGTTCTGTTCACTTACCTGAGTGACTGATGTCTATCTGGATTTTACTGGACCAGGTGATACCAACCACAGTATAATCTCAAGCTACTGCTTATTAACCCTCAGGGAGGCATGTGGGCCTGGCCATTGCATCTTTATCTTGAGGGCTGGTCTTCTTCAGATGCACCCCCAGCAGCAGTTCTGATGTGCTTATGTTTTCTGCAGCCTTCCTTGACAGTCCAGGCCTTTTGCGATTATATTAATTTACATCTACCTTAGCTGCCTTAAGAAGTTGGACGTGGCAACACCCAATTCACATCAGCAGCATAAGCTCCCTTTATGATTAGTTCATGGAGTCTACGCTTCGTGGCATCCAGTGTTTGCAAAGTGGCTGTGGGATGCTGCACACACTTCACCAACAGAAAAGGAAGGAGGGAGAGGGGAAAATGCCCCTGACACTTGAAGGTGCTCCTCAGAGAGCTTTGAAAAGCACCAGGACTAACTTCCACTGACCCAATCTGAATGCAAGAAAATAGAAAAGCAGATTTCTTTGATCTTTACGTATTACTACTCACCACAATAACAAAGTCTGATTAATTGGGAGGGAGAGATAAACGTGGGGTGGCTAACTAGTGATCAGTGCCACAAAGGTTTCTGGAATATCTAAACATTTTGCAAAACGGTAATAGAATAATGACGTTTTATACTGAAGTATCTAGAAATAGCAGTATTAGTTGAAGAAAGACAGCCCATGGTTTGCTCTAATATGCC